GATTAACATAACCTACTTTTTTACTTTTGTAAAACAACAAGGGCACGTTTTATTAGTGTAATAACCCAAATTATTCTTGAAAATTTCCTTTAAAACAGATTGATGGAAGTGCCTGGCGTCTTAAAACGCATATCTCTGGTGTGCTCGTTAATCATCGAAACATGGCATATGCCTTTGTGGACTTGTGTGAATGGAGCCACGACTCCAACCTTACTATCAATGTGTTGCTAGCCACACTAGCAGATTTAAAAGAATCGGTACGTTCATGATATATTTATTATAACAGTTACAAATGAAGATATTGGTGAAGCTCCGAGACCTCATGGTACATGTACATCCCGGGGGAATTTACATATTCAACTGTTCGGGGATTGGTATGTGCGTGTGTGTGCCTGTGATGTACGGTTTTACGTACAACAGGCTCTCCATTTGAAAAAATTGGAAAAATTGGAAACATTTTTGGTGAAAAATTGTCGAGTAGAGGGATTTTTTTACCTTTTCCCCTAACGGAGAGCCTGTTCACAGTCTATTGAGCGGTCTAGTAATCGGTCGGTATGTCGGTCGGTTTTCCGTAAATTGTCGTTCACAGTCTGTTGTTAGATTTTCCAATATCCCCTTGGTAAACTGTATTTCCGCGTTCTGCCGTCTGTTAAGGTGTTCGTAAAAATCGTCGATTTCGTCTTTTATTTGTGTTAACGTAGCGTAACAGAACGGAGGTAATTATATATAGTTCGCGTATAAGTAGCTAGCTTGTGGCAGTTGTTCCTCGAGGTTTTGCATATTAACTTGAATTTCTGCCACAAGAACAGGAACTGGAGCTAGAGTGCCGATGGCTGTACTGTTTGCCTTTGTACTGAACTCCTTCCTAATTAAGTCACAGTGCTTATTCTTTATTTTCATATTCTTTTAGCTTGGATATCTGCCGAAGATATTGTATCTCCAGATGGACAACTGCTGGAGGGAGAATAAAAATAAATTCGTCATCGCTTTTCTTTCAATACTGGTTGAAATTGGAATTTTCGATAAGGTAAACGACTCATCACTTGTAATTTTACGTACCCAGATTAAATAGAAAGACAGTAGACAATGCACTTACCCTTAAATTAAAATAATAATTAAAAAAGATAACATCGTCATGTTTCGTCTTTGCTTATTCCACTTGAATTTGAGACACCAATTGTACAATTCTTGATCGAATAAGTTGAAAACTAAATTTCCAATTTCCATGCTATATATATATATGGCGCATTCAATATGAAGCCACACAAATAATATAAGGGCAACCGACATCAAAAGAAAAATATATATATATTTAAGTGCGTAAATTTATATGTTTATTTCTTCATTCATGTATTTCAGATCAAACTGTCTTTCCTCGTCGTCGGGCATACGCACGAAGACATTGATCAAATGTTTTCGTGCTATGCCCGAAGACTTTCAAAGCATGATGCCAAAACTCTGCCAGAGTTAATGGAAGAAATTCAAGCAAGTTTTTCACCTTCAGTTAAAGTGAAACTACTTCAATCCTTGTTCGATGTAAAGGGGTGGATGTCAGGTCACGTCGGTGATCTGACTGGACATACCCCCCAGCATCAGTTTAAAATCGTAAGAAACAAAGATGGAAAGGCAGAGGTAAGTTAGCTGACATTCTCCACTCATCTCTTACCTTTACGAGTACAGTTGTACAGTACCTAAAATGATCCTCGACTGCCAGTGATTGCGGTAGTCTAGGATCATTTGCGGTCCATTTTGGGGATCATTACGGTACAATGCTTTCTAAATATTCTGGCGCTTCCCACTATACAATTCTTAAGTAGGTTATAAAAACTACTGTTCTTTTCAAGGTGGCATAATAAGGCTTTGGAATCCACATTGACATTAATGAGCAAAAGCATCTTTTTACGAAAACAACTTTTCAAAGAATACATTCTTCTACTTCTTTCTACTCTTTTTCGTCGCAGATGTTTTACAGAAAATGGTCTTCAACAAAGAACTGGTCTCCAGAGGGGAAGGGAATCACCGTGCATACGGGTGTCCCCTCTGGAGACCCATCTCTGTCTTCGCCTGTCATTGCCAATCTAAACTTAGACAGGATCAAACAAGACCTTCCCAAATTTAGACTGCAATTTACCAACGCCGAACAGAAATGGTGGGAAGACTTCATCCGAGAACAGTCAGACAGAGATGGAAAACGCCGGGGAAAAGGCCCGCGAGTAAAATGGATTCTTCCAACCCTCAGGGAAGATGAAATTGACGAAAGACCGAATGATGAGGCAGTTGAGAGGTATGCTGCGCTGCAGCAGCTTCTTTCAAAGGAGCAGAAGGAAGTGAAGATAAGCAAACACAGTATACTTCCTTCTCACACCTTGTGTTCACCAAATTCTCCCCTTTATTTATTGATCCGATTGAGCTTATTGATCGTTTTTTTCTCACGTGGCCAATATGGATATTGATGGCGAGCGTTCAGTATAAAAACTGTGCATGGTTGAACTCCATGTAGACCATCAGTCCGTTCCAATGAGGTCAACGTGACGTTATGAGAAAACAATTAATGAGTAAAACTGTCATTTTAGGTTTCGGTGCGTAGGAAAAAAAGGAAAGAAAAAGGCACAGCCAAGAAGTCATCGCAAAAAAAAGCAAGAAAATAGGTAAAAAAAAAAAGTTCATCCCCGTCTTTCATTACCTTAAATTGTCACTGTTGCCTATACAAGCGACGGTTGTAGTTCCATTTATTAATTATTTATTATTATTCATTCAAAGTATTTCCCCAATTCGGATTGGCTAAAAGAACACGAATCATGCACCATAACCAGTTACTGATGACCAAATTTGGAAGAATTTTGTGTTTAATGAATGAATGAAGAGTCGTGGATGAGAGGACAACAGGCGTGCCCTCTTACAATAAATTTAACATGTAACAGTAAGCTCGGACGTTGAAACGACGTCAAAAATGCAGCCCGCTACAGGTTAAGGCACCGTTACCGAGAAGACCTAGGGACGAGGTTGAGTTGTTTTGGTCGTGAAAACAAAAATGGCGGACCTTTCACTTGGTTCAAGAGTTAGAACTACTGCTGGAACTAGGCGAAATAATGGCTAGGAACATGGTAAAAACAGTAAGAAGACAACTTGGAGGGCGACATCTGCTATTTGAAGAATATTTGCAGAGCTGGACAAACCTAAAAGTACACTATCGAAGATGAAGTTAACATTGGTGCAGGTAAGAATGTTTTAGCTATGTTTTTAAACTAGGAGATATTTTGAATGAATAATAAAGCAATTAATGAATTCGGCTTTCGTAGGATACTACTCTCGGCGGCTCAAATCAATCCCTCCGAGGATTTACCGCTGTTCAGAGCCCTTGGCTCCTCGGTCAAAAGAAAAAGTGCGAAGCCAAGCGATTAGCTAATATATTAGCATTGCGATCACATCACCAACGTTGAACTTTAAAAAAGGAACAAGGAAAAAAAAAAATGTGCCGCAAAGTTACAAAGAAGAGGACGGGATATGAATAAAAATTGAGAGTCTTCAGCGCGAATCACCAGCACCACCCAGCACCACCCTCCCTCACCCAGCACCACCCTCTCCGCGGCTCCTGGAACTGACGCCGCTAATAAATTTGTATCTTACTGATTTATTTTCTGTTTCTTAGAACTCCAGCATGAATATTGTCTTTTTTCCTTTATCTCCACAGTCTGGAACTGAGGTCTCATGGCCAAGGAAGGCGACCCGATTTTACAAACAGTAAAATTTTTACGAGGACATGCAGTGATTAAAGTTTATTTTTGAAACTGTTGTTCCAGAGTTGTTGTAGCGTTAATTCAGGGGAAGAGACGGCTGTCATTGTCGATAAATAGTTCGTGGTTTTTGCGATAAACGTATTTCTAGTGGTATTTAATTATAATTAATATGAACAGTGGATACTAAAAATCAGGACCTCGGCACAGAACTGAGGATGAAAAGTTCTTTCATACTTGTCTCCCTTTATTTTGTCCCTCGCAACCTTTGAAGCAATAATAATATTTCTGCCTAAAGGGCAGGTCTGAAAACGGGTTTGAATTTTTTGTCGAAAAACGGGTGTGGAAAATGACACCTTTTGGTCTGAAATTGGGTTAGGATATGAAGAACCGAGCGGTACATCCCGGGAATTGTTGGTGGGTCCCACCAAGAATTCCCCAGAGTACCTGGGAACGAGGTTCTGTTCCCCGTATGGCAAGGATATTGGCTGCGCGACATGCGAATGTTGTAAGAGCGATTGATTTGTTTACACTTGACGTCCTGAGATTTGACATCCGAGACAACCCTGAACCAATGAGAAAACCCGTCAGTGTATGATGTCAGTATGACCCACGTGGGATGTGATTTCCTGACATGATTGACAGAGTAAAGTTCTTTTCAGTGTAAGAATTTATTGAGTGAGTGCACTCGACCGTACCGGAGCAGTTCGCAGAATAGATGGACTTTACAGAGCAGGAATAGACGCCTTGTATCTCGTTATTCTGCGCTATTGATACTTTAAAGAAGGAGCTGGGTGAGCCTCTGCTAAGATTGGGTTGGAATGGGTGCGCAGCATAAGCCTGCATGCTTTGTTTGTTTTGGATCCGTCACTGCCAACTACTACATGTAATACGCTTAAAAACGTGACTAATCTACAGAGTTTTGGCTCTTCTTGTCTTTCTGTATTGTCTATCGTTCTCGATATCTTCCTGTACTCTTATGTCTACAGCTTCCTGGATATATAGGTTCTATAAAACGCTGAAAAGAAAAGGATATGGTTAATTTCGTTAATTCAAATATTGATTACAAATTCCCGGGGGGCAGGGGTACTCCGCTATATAAACCATGTGGGTATGTTCCGCCCCATTGGGAAGGGTTTTTACGCCGTTTTGCTCTAGAATCGGATATGGTTTTCGAGGGAACTAGGAGAGTAAAAAAATATTTATCGTTTCATCCAAATTGATAAGAACGAATTACAAATATGCAAATTAGAAATTTCTTGGTGCGCTCTAATCTAGGAAATGACGACATAATTTCTGCCCGAAGGCCAGGTCTGAAAGCGGGTTTGAATTTTAGAGGTCTGGTATGAAAACGGGTGTGGAAAATGTTGTAACTGAGTGGTGAAGTTTAGAATGGTTAGAACTCTTCCAAAGTTCTCATGATGTACACATGTATTCCTGTACAGTGTACAGAGGGCCTTACGCCAAATTTAATACGATTTTGACTGAGGTCAGTAGAATGATCACCAACCACCACTGTGACTCCTGGATACTCTTTTAACCCGCAACGGACGGTAGAAAATCTGATAGGCTATAAGTGAATAGGGCGGTCAGCAAAAACTTTATAACAAGTCAATCTATTAGGTCTTGGGCCCCAGTTAATTGAACGGTACCGAATTTATAGCCTTTTATCAGCGTGCGTTCACTGAGCCAGGTGAGCATCAGTTTCCCCTTAGTCGTAAGAAGATAAAATCCGATAACCATTCCTTTCCTGGGCGCTCAAACAGAATTGACTGTTTTAAGAGACTGTTTTTTTGTAAAATTTGTTAAAACTCTGAAGTTATTTCATCAGCTTCAGAGACGTAGTTATTATTTATTCGACAAACTGAAAACTTGTTCCTAGTTTAGCTTCTGTCTCGTTGTATTGTAGGTTCACGTAAAGGCACGTGTGTCATTTACGATTAACAATTATGACTGCCAACCTCATCAAGATTATAGGTACAGAGCCTGCGAGACAAATGAAATACGATTAATAATCGTATTGTAGTTCACTTGCCTGGGCTTGAGTCACTTTGACTTGCAGTAGCTGATTGACAGCCAGCCCTGTGATTGGACACATTTTGACAGCTCATCAACTTTGTTTTGACCTCGGCCTTCAGTGAAAGAAGGGAACGGACGCTAGGAAAAGTGTTGAAGCATTTGTGGCGCGATCGACGAAAATTTTCCAACAGCGCGCGAGGGAGAGGCACGTTAAACTCAATCGAAGCATCAACAATTGTTTGCAAAAGCTTGCCTACCGCGGATAAATGCACTTTTTCTTCAGCGAGTTTCTTACTCTATGTGGTTTGAAATAACTGTATTATCAAGTTCTTTACTGGAGTGGACTGGCGTAGGCTTTTTGTGCAGCACGTTTATTGCTTCTCCTCATGAAGACGATCCGATAATCATCCTCTCGTTAGACGTTCGAACAGAATTACTTGTGTCAAGGCTTTTGGTGAAACTCAAACTCTTTATTTAAGCCTCAGTCTTAAAATTATTAACAGCCGGATTTATTGCAAGAACTGAAAAAAAACCTGGAGTATGTATAAAGCTTAAATCAGGGAGCAAGATCTATACTACTTGACACTGAACCATGATTCAAGAAATCAAAGAGACAGTTGCCGTTTAAATAGAGTTTAAAGACCAGGACTTTTCAAAAAAGTTTTATAATTCTGCAGTTGCTGAACGCTGGGGAACATCGACTTAGGTGAGTTAGTTTTCTTCTGACTTTTAGCGCCTTATCTTGACTTTTTAGTCAAAGAGATGATTCTAGATCGTTAATTTTCTTTTAACGTTAATTAAACAGGGAGCAATTTACAGGCACTCAGTTTTGTAATCTGTCTGCAATCTGCGTGTGTTTTTCAACTCGCTGCCGCGGTAAAAGTTTTCAACAAGAAAGAGAAAGCACTGTAGTCTTTTTCATTAGTTATTATTCCGTACAACCTGATGATAGTTCTTTTGCCTTTTCTTTAAATCATACCACATGTGATCTGAGGGAGAGAAATCTCACGCGCAGCGTAACAACCGGCATAGTTGATTTCAGTTTGCACAGGCTTTGTAGACCGTATTCCAAGTACTCTTCGATCTTTTTTAAAAAAAGTACAGTGTATGGCAAAGTGTTGTTAGGATAAATTACATCCTAAAAAGGTTTCTTATGGTGATTATCAAATTGAAGATTATTTTTGCGAACGAACGGCAATGAAAAAATTGATCTTTAATGCCGCGCGGCCGGGGATAATATTTTTCTGCATTGAAGTGAAAGTTGTTCTCAAAACGCACAAGTACTGTTTTCTAAAAGCATTTCTGAACGGTTTAGTAAGTCAAATATTAAACAATAACAGAACAGATTTTACTTAAAATGATGTGAATTTCTGTCCCGCAGACGATATTAAAGTGTTTTTTTCCAGATCAGACTGTATGCTATCAAATTTCAAACTGTAGTAAACTTTTCAACGCTCGGTACAGTGCGTATAAAAGCTGTCTTGTAAGAAATCCGTATTATGACAGCTTTGTCTGGCCGTGAATATGAATCTGTTTTTCGAAAATATATTTTTTTAATTCAAGTTTTCGTTCTGGAAAATGCTGAAGGTAATTTTCTCCATGATTCTGCGAGTCGTGTTCTCAGGTTTCAATTGCGTGAATGAGCTCTTCTCAGGATCTGATCATGGCACTTTAATAATTCGGTTCAAATGACTGGGTTGGTTTGTCGTCATGCAGTCTGGTTGAATATATTTCTCTATAGTTTGTA